AAGAGTGAACCTCAGTAACTGGAAATTGGATGGCTTCATTTTGGTGAGGAGGAAAAGGAAGAAAAGAAGGCGGAAGTGAAAAGACTAAGGCCCAAGGCACTAACAAAGAGTGGTCAGCTTGGGAGGGCAGTCAAGGAGAAGCACAACCCCACCCAAGTAGTAAATCAAGAGCAGAGGTGCCACCCTCATAGCAGGAGTAAGAGGTAGGAAGAGAAAGTACAAAGGTACCAAGCCCAATCTTGGCCTAAGGGGCAACCCCACCTAAACTGACTGGAGAAGAAGAGCTAGAATGAATGATGAGAAACTAGTAAAAGGGAAGAGAGATTGTCACAATGGCATTCTGAGCTTACTCTATTATAGAACATGGACCATTCTCTGTTGAAATTGTCTGTTTACTTGCCTGCACCCTCCTTTATTTATTTATTTATTTATGGAAATGGGGTCTCACTATGTTGCCCAGGCTTGCCTCGAACTCCCAGGCTCAAGCAATCCTCCTGCCTCATCCACTGGAGTAGCTCGAACTACAGGCGCACACCACCATGACCACAATGCACCCTCCTTTTAATAATGAGTTTTTAGAGGACAAGGATATTTTGTCTATCTTATTTGTGTAGAGACTAGTGCACTATCTGGCATATAGCAGAGACTCAAAAATTCATGTTTAATGGATGGATGAATGAAATCAGCTCCCTTTCTTTTCTACTTCCCATACATAAAATCTTTGCAAAGATGATGGAACTTCAGCTGTGTATCCAGGATTCTTAGAGGTGCTAGGGCCCTTGAGAAGTATAAACTGTGTCATTTACAGAAATGCAAATATCTTTACTCAGAACTGTAGCAAACATGTCCAACGTCTAACAAATACTGCTTTGGTTTTAAAAAGTTGTTATTTATAATAGCATTTTATTTATTTTCAGGGGTCTTTATTTATGCTTAAGCATGCTTCTTTACATAATCTATTTTTACATAAATCATTAACATCAAACTCTATCCAGATTTCTATTACATTATACTTCAATATATGTAAGACAAATTTAGATGAAATATAGCTAATGATTCCAAAATAGTTTCTCTAGACATGCTATATATTTTAAACTTAATTTAATTTCCTTTTTATGTACCAGGGGAAAATGTATGAGGGTTTTTTTCTAAGCATCCTCTCTTTCCTCATTATCAAAGTATTCATACTGAATTATTTTTAAAAGGCAGCATTTAGTATTCAATCAAATAATAAGGAGACCGTGTTCCTTCCCAGTGGTTTAATAATAATTCTTGCATCACCAACCCTGAATATTCATGTTATGGAAATGTGCCCTACTTCTATAGATTTTATCACTGTCAGCTGGTGCCACAGCAGAACATGGGGACAGTTAGTCAGTCTTAATACATTCAAGATTTCAGCAATTACCAAAATGTCTTCCCTGACTTACCATCAATAATTCAACTTTTGAGGAATATAATACTGAGACACAAGAGGCTGACAAATAAATATTCTGCTGTTCTTCGGAAAACAGAGACCTAACTACATAAAATTGTGATATCACTTGCCTAAAATCTTACTTCAGCAGTGTCTGTATGACATGAGACAACTGGTCTATTTAGTGGAAGAAGAACATCAATCAAGCTTGACTTTTTGTCTTTGGGTAAATCAATTTATAGAGTATTTATTTTCCCCTCATTTTGCTGTTAGAACACAGCTTGTCAGTGATTTGATATTCATTGTCCTCATTCCTCAAAACATATAATAATCATGATTTAACCTCAGTTCTGTTCACAGCGTGACCTTGGTCTAGTCACTTGATCTCTCTAGGATTCAGTTTCTTCATCTGCAAAATGAGGAAGCTGTATTAGGTTGGAGTCAATAAAGTTTTTCTGTAAAGGGACAGATAATAAGTATTTTAGGCTTTGCAGATAGGATCTCTGTCCCAACTACTCAATTCTGACATTTTAATGCAAAAGCAGTCATAGATAATATATAAACAAATGAGCATTTCTATGTTCCAATAAAACATTGTTTACAAAAACAGATGGGCAGAAAGATTTGGCTGCATGCAGTAGCTTGCTAACCTCTCTAAAGTTTTTTTTCAAATCTATGATTCCATATGTTAGATACACAAAAAAGCATGTGAAGACTGCAAGAAAAAATGAACACATCAAGTCCCTCAATTGCTTAAAACTAAAGGAGCACAGAAACTTCCCACTATAGAATAATGCCTCTGAAAAAAATTAAATAGGCCTAAGTAAACCCAGCTGGTTAACAGATTAACAAAGGTCATTCAATTCTGGCCAGTCAATGCCCATTTTATTAGTGGCCCTAGAGTACACAGATGCTATAAAAATCGAGGCCAAGTCTCCCAGCTGTATCTAGATGAGGAGAGAATATATACATCAGATTGCAAGAATGACAGAACTCCACATCAGGTTTTGTTGCTTTTGAGAGCACTGAAGAAACTAATCTGCATTAAAAACAATATATTATTAGGTCACATTGCAGCTTCCAGATTGGAGAAATAAAAATGAGAACCATTCTGCACCTCTATGTAAAGTACCTATTTCATTAAGTGGCTCAGATGATGAAAGCCCTGAAAGTGAAGATCATATGTTAATCCTTTTGAAGGTCTCTGAAGGTCTGCAGTTTCATTTTGTTCTGCTTCTATGAACTACACACACCCACACATACACAAAGAGGGACCACAGCTAGAAAATGTCAATCTATGGAGACCTAATGGATAACTGGGGTGCTCAAAGATGATTCTGCTATATTCAAAACATTAAAATGCTTATGGGGTATTATAACTGCCAAAGATACATGTCCACAGTGACAAAGAATTCCAGAATTAAAAAAAAAAAAAAAGAATGGCAGAGTACATTTGGTTTATAGCAGGGTTTCTCAACCTCAACACTATTGATAATTGGGCTAGATAATTCTTTGATGTGGGGACTCCTATGCATTGTAGAATATCTGGCAATATCAATGGCCTCTGCTCACTACATGGAATAACAGTAACTCCCTCTCACTCTCCCCCAGTCATGGCAAATGAAAATGTCTCCAGACACTGCTAGATGTCCTGGGTTGGGGGAGGAGGAGGAAAAAATTATAGTTAGTTGAGAACCTCTGAATTTTAGAAACTTAAGATATTTAATTAGCCATAAATCATTATCTATGCCTCAGGAGTCAAATAAAATTCCAGTCCAAACCCAATACTCACAAATATTTTATTACAATGACTTCCCAAGCCCCTTCCAACTAATTCCAACTAAACAACAATAAGAAGAAAAGTAGAGGGGACATCATCTGGAGAAAGAATATTGCTGTTTCAGTCCTTTGTCCTAAGCAGTTTCTAACTCTTGCTTAATAGCAATGTTACGATTTCTAAATTTTACACACAGGGAAATCGGACCTGACTCTCTGACTATGTATCCCATCTAACTCCTGAATTACTGGTCATGATTCCTCGTCTCAGTTACTGGTGAAAAGATCTACAAAGCCTTAGGCTGTAGCTCTGTCTTAGTACTGAGTCCACCTGCATGAACTTGAGCTCTTAAGTTCCTGATTTCAAAGTGTTGTTCTAGGACCTGGGTCTCTTTTTATTTCTACCTTACTTAGACTCCTGGCTGGCTTCCCCAGTTTTCTTACAGAGTACTGTCTGTACTCCAGACTTACTGCTGGGCCCCTACTATTTGCTGCACACGTTCCAGCACACCATATTCTATTTGTTGAGACTTCATTGGGTTATTTCCTGCTGATATCTTTCCCCCTGTGCCCATATCTCTGTGTTCCAATTATCCCTGTTCTGTGGGGCCTCATTGTTGAGTTCTGGTCATAAAATCTGTCACCTACTTATTCATTTTAAAGGAACAGTAATCACAGAGGAGAAAGGAGAGAAGCAACTGTGTGGTTACTTCAAAGGCATCGCACCTTGAAAAGCTTCCTAGTATAGCCTGACAACGAGAACTCTGATTATTAAAAGAAAAATCATCACAGGATATGCTGTTATGTTCTGTTACTACGATATAAGGCTTTTAACATTCTGAGTCATGCAGAAATTTCTACTGTTCTCCAATATCCTAGATAGAGAGAGCAAAACTGGAAAGATGTCAGTCAGGTGATATGACTCATGAATGGCTCTTCTATGCATGTAAAAAAACATTTTAGAAACAATAACAAATTGAAACCAAACATAAGATTAATTTTAAATCTTGCATAAAATCATGTTTGACTTCAATTTGAGAGTTGATAATCTTAAGTCATGTTTAATTAAAATTTAGGTATGTATATTAATATACCCCTCTTTCAACAGTCATATACCCAGAGAAAGTTTATTTATGCATTAACATGATCAGGAAAAGTTAACTTAAATCACAAAAGTGATTTGTATTTCACCTCTGAGATAAGGTCAAAGAGAAAGTCTGTTTGCTTGGCTTGTGCTGCATATAATGAGTACCAATGCAAAATGACTGAATTATAAACATCCCAAAGTGTTCAGCCTTAACCATGAGACATGTAGGAACTCCAAAGGCCGGCAGAGAGAAGATGGGCCAGGGTCCTGGGTGGAGTTGAGGGTTGGCTCAGAGACAGAGGTAGCTCACCCAGCTGAAAGTGTAGAGTGGGAGAGGTTGGTTGCCATGTGAATCCAAATGACAGAGGCCCACCCCAATGCTAGGGTTGAAGTTGCTTCCACAGAGACATATAGTGTGGGGCCCAGCAACAGGCAGGGAACACAGTAACACCATGCTTCAGGGAGGGCCCATCTGGTTGGAAGCATATCCCAATCCTGAGCCAACAGCTCAAAGGGTATAGCTAGTGAATGAGACAAGAAGTATGGGGTTGACAAGTTCTCCATAAGGCTTCAGCCAAACATACTGGGTTTCAGAGCAAGGCTTGAGTCCCAGATGGGAACATAAGTACAAATCAAGAATAAGGCCAGAAGCCCAGAAAGTCAGTTTCCAGAATCTATCCACTGGATTCCTCAGCCTTGCTCATTCATTCATTTACTCACCCAATCCTTTGTTCAACAGATGCATACTGAACACCTACTAGGCACTGCCAGACACTGTTCCTGAACCTGTAGATTCAATGGAGAAAAAATAAACATGTCCTTATAAAAAGCTTTCCTGGAATTACTTTGGGGATTAATTAGTACTTAATATATAGGTTAAAAAACTTGATCAAAACAGGGCTTATAGACATTACCAATGTTAGCAAGATTGAGCTTCCTGTGCCTCTGAAAAATTTTGCTCCAGCCCCCAGGTAGCCAGATTGGTAGCAAGGAAAGAACAGAGCAGATGTGTTTTCAACCCACATCTACTATGAGAAATGTGGTTCTTCTACCTTATAAACACATACTAAATATTATAATAAAAGGAGGCCATGATGATGATAATAATGATGATGAGTAGTAATAGTAGTAATAGTCATATAATTATTTCAAGATCCAGCCAAGAGACATAAATCAAGCAGGTTAAACAAAAATAAATTTATATAAAGAATTATTGAAGCCAGGCACAGTGCCACCTGCCTGTAATCCTAGCACTCTGGGAGACTGAGGCAGGAGGATTGCTTGAGCTCAGGAGTTCGAGACCAGACTGAACAAGAGTGAGACCCCGTGTCTACCAAAAATAGAAAATATTAGCTAGGCATGGTGGCACGTACCTGTAGTCCCAACTACTCAGGAGACTGAGGCAAGAGGATCCCTGGAGCCCAGGAGTTTGAAGTTGCAGTGAGCTACGATGATGCCACCGTACTCTACCTAGGACAACAGAGTAAGACTCTGTTTCAAAAAAAAAAGAAGAAAAATTGTTGATTCAGATTGTTGATTCAGTGAAAGTTGTTAATTAGGGTCTGATAAAACAAAAAGAGAACTCTAAGATATCACAAAAGTAGCAACTGTAAGACACAGCTACTATCCCTAGAACTGGAGGAACAAAGGGAAGACATTAGAAGCCTGGAACACAGACTCCACAAAGCTGAAGCTCAAAATCCTGAGGAGGAGCTGATAATCAGGTGGTGCTAAGTACTTGAGCTCTGAGGGAGGAAGCCTCCCATGGGGCTGGGTCCCAGACCTCTGAAGAAGGAGAACTGGCAACTAGTGGACCGACTACATGACTTTTGGGGAAAATGACAAAATGAACTCCATTGCTGCAAATGGAACAAACTGTTGCTTCAGGGGGAAAGAGGCATTGCTGGGGCAGTACTTACAGGAAAAGAAAGCCAGCAGAAACAACAGCCAAAAGGAAGGATATATTTAATACCTCCATATATTTAATACCTCCTTCTGCTCACAGTCTACTGTAGTGCCCCCCACTGCCAGAGTTTAACCAACTGATAAAACATGGTTTGCAGATGGTTTGCAGATGCTCAGCCCTGGCATCATAAAGCAAAATGTAGATGGATGGGTTTAAAGCTGAGAGATGGTAGTTTAATAACCAACCCAGTAACATAGGGCGAATTTTTTACCTTTATGAGACACAGTTTGTAAGATAACAACAACAATGCCTTCAACAAAAAGATGTTTTGAGGATTAGACAACATGTATATAAAGCACCTTACATAATGCTTCACAAATAAAACTCATTATTTCACAATTACTAATGGTTTCTGCTCCCAATTCATCCTACCAAATCCATCTGCCACTTCACTGCCTTCCTTAAACAACTACTTTGTAGAACTCCTTGTGTGGCCTAATCTATTGCCAGAATATGTCTCAGCAGGAAAAAAAGCTATTTATAAGGCATAAGCCAACAAGGAGCTCCTCTAAGTTAGAGACCATATGTGTATCTTATATTTCAACTTCTATACATCCCTGTCACATTACAAATACAACAAAAAGTTATTACCCAGCTCCTTCATTGCACTTGCCACCATCAACCCAACAGACCAGCTTTTCTGGTCCATGAGGACACACTCATGTTCCTTCCTTCCTTCCCATGAACAGTTCTAGCAAGATTTCAAGCTTGATCCAACTTCCTTCATTCTAAAGAATAATCTTTGATATCTTGTGGCCTGGGATCGTTGCATGCACAAAAAGTGGATGTAGAAACCAACCAGCATTTTAACATTCTCAATCCAGCCGCCATTTTCCCTCAGCACCATTCCAGACATCAGAGACCTTAGTCCTAGGAAAAAGAATTACTAAAAGTAGAGCAGTATCAGGTGCTATATGGCACATTTTAGATAAAAGAACTACCATGTCCATGAAGCATCAGAAAAGCCAACTCCTGCAAAAAAGCAAAATGTAGCTCTTTGCTATCTTGCCTGAAATTATGGGCTCCTTAATAGTTTATTCCTTTTCTGATCCACGGCTCATTGGTTATATGTTTATTAATTATAAGGCCTTGGAAAATTTTCTTAGCCTCTAAGCCTCATTTAATTCCTTATGAAATGGCATTCCTAGTACTATCCCACAGGTTTGTTATAGGGATTAGATGAAAGAACACATGTTCAGGGGGTGGGGGACATGGGAGTTGTTGTTTGATATATAGAGTTTCAGTTTTGCAAGATGAAAAATTTCTGGAGCTTTGTTACACAACAATGTGAATATATTCAACACTACTAAACTGTACTCTTAAAAATGGTTAAGATGATAAATTTTATTCTGTTTTTTAACAACAGTTTCAGGAAATATTTGTTGAATGAATGAATAAATAAATAAAAAGTTCCTAACATATGTACACAAACACACATACACACACACATATACGAATACAAAAGAACATGTTCAACACTTATCACAATGCCTGGCACATCATAAGCATTCAAATACCTATGAGGGTCTCTCTCTTTTCCCTTTGAGTCTCCCAACAAGCTCCTGACTTTAGCCTCAACTGCACTCATTTCTTTTCCTCTGAACACTGTGGGGGCTTAATCACATTCCGTTCATTACTGCTCTTAACGACTCTATATGGGTATGCTTTATCTTACCAAATAGATTGTCAGCTCTTGCTTGAATTTCCTTCATGTTTCTAGCACAATCTTTGGCGTCTAGTGCAATCTTTGCATTAACTGTTGACTAGGATTCTATTTCAAATATTATGGACTCTCCTAGAACCACAGCATTCTAGCTGCCACTGCATGTTCTTGGACCCCACCAATCATCATCAATCAACATTTATTTATTGATCTATTAATTCATACAGAGATCTCAATTAGGAAGCAGAGGTAATGTATGGGGAATGCAGGAAGAGAATAAAGATATTTAAAACATAATTATTGTGCTCAAAATACTTATAGTCTATTTGCCCAAAGTAAACATAAACAGTTTGATAAAACTACAAACACAAAATTCTAAGTGTCTGCTGAGTATTACAGACAAGCAGGAGTTCAGGAAGCCATGAATACTTCCTGAAGAGAAAATTCAACAAGAGTTTATCATTAGAAAAACACAAACACTAGATTATATTTTATTTACAGTTAAAATGGTTCTTCAGGGGAAAAAAATGCATCTGCTTACTATTACAGATTTTTTCAAACTACACTTGATCTTAGCCAAAAGGCCAAGAAGCTATGTCCCAGGAACTCGCTAAAAGGGAGAAAAAAAAAAAAAGAAAATGATAATAACAACATTTCAGGCACTACAGTAAAATTTACACAGTACCACTAATCCTAGAAAAAAAGGGAATTATCCCTATTTAAGACAAAGAAATAGTCTCAAAGAAATTAAGTTACTTGACTCCAGATACGAAGCCAATAATTATTCAATTTGAACACAGATCTCTCTGAATCCAAAGCACAGATTCTTCCCACTATACAACTCATTCATTCATCAAACATTTATTGAGCATTTACTATGAACAAGTATTATGCTGAAGATATAAAACTAAATAAGGCATAATTTCTTTATCCATGTGGCTCACAATCTGGTAAGGAGGCAATCCCATAAAGAGACAATTCCAACAAAATTTGGAATTTTGTTCCCCTTGGTGTCCAATGCAATCTTTTGTCCAATAATCAAGATTAGCAACAGAAATTATAGAGCACATAGAAAGGAAACCTAATCTACTCTTGGAAGTCCTGAAAGGTTTCTTGGGGCAGTAGAAGTCTTTGGAAAGTATTAAGGAATAAACAATGATAGCTTACATGTGTGGTGGTTAATTTTAAGCATCAACTTGACTGGATTAAGGGATATCTATTAATAGGTATCTGGTAAATTATCATTTCTGGGTGTGTTTATGAGGGTGTTCCTGAAGGAAATTGTTATGTGAGTCAGTGGACTAAGGGGGGAAGAGCCACCCTCAATATGAGTGGGTACCAACCAATCAGCTTGGGGTGCACACAGAATAAAAAGGCAGAGAAGAGATGAATTCATTCTTTCTTCTCCCCTCCTCTCCCCTCCCCTCCCCTCCAACCTCACCCTCCCCTCCTCTCCTCTCCTCTCCTCTCCTCTCCTCTCCTCTCCTCTTCTCTTGAACTTGGACATCCTTCTTCTCCTACCCTTGGACATCAGAACTCCAGGCCTTTGGACTTCAGGACTTGCATTGGCAGCCTCCTGGGTTCTCAAGCCTTTGGCCTCAGACCAAGAGTCACATCATCAGCTTCCTTGGTTTTGAGGCTTTTGAACTTGGACTGACTGAGCCACACTACTGGTATTCCTGGGTCTCCAGCTTGCAGACAACCTATAGTGGGACTTCTCAGCCTCCACAGTCACATGAGCCAATTCCCCTAATAAATCCCCTCTCATATATCCATATATCCACATCACTATCTATCCTATTGGTTCTGTCTCCCTGGAGAACCCTAACACAATATATGTACTTACTATTAATAGCCCTGATTTACAGATGAGAAAATTGAGACAAGGAGAGGTGAGCAACTTGCAAAAGAGCAAACGGTTTATAAGTAAGTGGTAAAGCCAGGATATGAGCATGTTCTTCTCAATTTCTACCCACACAGAGGAGTTTGCCAGAAAAAAATGTGGACTGAAGACGGGCATTTTTTCAACAGGAAAATTCAGAACAAGGCACAAGACAAGAAATTGCACTGTATGAGACCATATAAGAAAGCCAGTATGGCTGAAGCAAGAAATAACAAGAGATGAAACTGGACAATTCAGGGCCATATCATGAAAGGTCTTGCACACCATCCTAAGGATCTTGGAATTTATCTCATAAACTATGGAGGGATATCTTCTGATTTCTA